TATTAAACAAAATGTTATGCAGGTAAATTTTTAATGTAAAATGATTTACAATTTTTTCACTTATGTTTAATGACTCTAAATATTAGTTTTGTTCTTTTCACAGACCTTAAATAACTATGACTCAAGCATTATAACTTTTGACTATTTTTTAAATGTTTGTGACACAGACACATATATTTTTTATATCCGTGTTAGTTAACAACTTTTTGACATATTCTCTAACCTTTGGTTATTTAAGAGGTCATTGTCCGTAGTTGCTTTGGTATGGCATCCACATATAACATATTCTTGCTATATGTGATTTTTTTAAATTTGTGTTTTTCTTGATTAATAAGGTTGTTTGACTTCAAGAACTAAAATTATTATTTTGATCAACTAGTAAAATCATTATAAAACTTCAATAGTCCAATTTGTGTTCTACACTTTCAAATTTAAAATAAATATTTATGTTGAAACTAGACCTGTGCAAACAAGGGTCGGCCCGTCCGGCCCGACCAGCCCGCCCTTTAAAATGGGCGGATATGGACAATCTTTAATACCCACATGGGCGGGCCGGCCCTAGCCCGAATTGTATTTGGGCGGATCTGGAAGTTACTTTTAGCCCATCCGGGCCAACAGGCCCGCCCATATTCATTAAATATATTTACTTTATTAGTAATTACCTAGACAATATAAATTTTAAAATTTTCTTTAATTCATGTATAATAGTTCATATCACTCACCCTCTTAAACAAAAATCAATAGTCTTTTAATAAATCTGTATGATGGGTTTATTAATTATGTAACAATATTACTATTATGTTTTCTATGTAAATGTGGCGAGTGATAATTTTATTTTAAACATTTGAAAACGAGTTCAATATTTTCTTTTTGATTTTTTTGTGTAAAAAAGATTTTCTTGATGTTTTATCCGGGCCGGGCGGCCCGGTGGGCGGGTATGGGTAAAGAGTTTAGCCCATCAAATCCGAGCTGGGCCAAGCCCGCCCATGCAATGGGCTATTAACTTGTATCAAGCCCGGCCCGGATCCTTATTTGTACAGGTCTAGTTGAAACTCATTTTTAATACTATGTGTCGCTTCTCTTTACAATTGTTTAATGTTTATGATACTTGATTCTTCTAAGGTTAACCTATTTGAATCTCCACTCCTAATATTTGTTTATTTATATGTGATTTTGTAATGTCATTTTATTTGTCTTGTTTTGCAGGTATCCTTCTTACGATAAGAGAAGAGTGTAGACTTTAAACATATAGAGATTAGATTACTATTTTTGTAGCTTAACGTGCATGAAGATTTGATGTTTTCTCCTTATTTTTAGGTAGCGATGATGATTTGTAGTGTGTAAATGTGTATATATTTTTAGATAGTTCATGACATGTAAATTTATGCTTTTAAAATGGTCATATTACTATTTATAAATAATACAAGTGTATTATCCATATACTCTATTTTCATACAATCACTGGCTGTGATTGCTTTTCCGGATACGTTTAGTTTTGTTCTTTTCACATACCTTAAATACTTGTGACTCAATCATTATAACCTTTAGCCATTTTTTAAATGTTTGTGACATAGATACATATATTTTTATATCCGTGTTAGTTAAAAACCTTTTGACATCTTCACTAACCTTTGGTTATTTAAGAGGTCATTGTCCGTAGTTGCTCTGGTATGGAATCACATATTCTTACTATATGTGATTTTTTTGTTTGTGTTTTTCTTGGTTAATGAGGTAGTACGTTTGACTTCAAGTACTAAAATTATTATTTTGATGAAGTAGTAAAATCATTATAAAACTTCAATAGTCCAAATTGTGTTCTACACTTTTAAATTTAAAATAAATATTTCTGTTAAAACTCATTTTTAATTGTATGTGTCACTTCTGTTTACCATTGTTTAATGTTTATGATACTTGATTCATATAAGACTAACCCATTTGAATCTCCACTCCTAATATTAGTTTATTTATATGTGATTTTGTAATGTCATTTTATTTATCTTGTTTTGTAGGTATCCTTCTTGCGATAAGAGAAGGGTGTAGACTTTAAACATATACAGATTAGATTACTATTTTTATTGCTTAACGTGCATGAAGATTTGATGTTTTCTCCGTTTGTTAGGTAGCGATGATGATTTGTGGTGTGTAAATGTGTATATGTTGTGAAAATTTATAGATAATTTATGACATGTAAATTTATGCTTTTAAAATGGTCATATTACTATTTATAAATAATACAAGTGTATTATCCATATACTCTATTTTCATACAATCACTAGATGTGATTACTTTTCCGGAGACATTTATTGTATATGAATACTCTATAAGGGGCTGTTTGTTTCAGTCTCTTAATGGTTCAGATGTCTGAATGGTTCAGCACTTAATGGTTCAGACCGTTTGTTTCAGCCTCTTAAGGGTTCAGATGTCTGAATGGTTAAGAGATTTGCCTCTGAATGGTTAAGTATTATACAGAGTTTGAATGGTTAAGACCTCTTATCTAAATTGATCAGACATATGCCTCTGAATAGTTAAGCAATATACTAGCTCTTAATGGTTCAGACCTCTTACTGGTTCAGCACTTACCCATTCAGAAGTTGCCAAAGAGCCCCTAAATGTAATATCAAAACATTGTACGAAGTATTGCTGCTCCTTAGACGTTCAGATACTCAAATTTGCATTACAAATACATAAAGAAACCCACGTGCAATTTTTATTTATAACTTCTCTTTATACTTTTTATGTCCACTACATATTTTTATTGCATAAATATGATGAAAGACAAGTACATATTCATATATTCATTTAAATAATATTTCTAACATTTATTCTGTTTTGGTCATTTAAGATGTTATTGAACAAGACATACAATTCATAGACATGTACTATCTATGATAACTTCCCCACAAACAAGTAGTATTTGTATTTATTCTTTGCATAAGAAATTACTCACAAACACTCTTTAATCCATTTAAATTCTAGTAAAAGTTTAATTTATAAGTATGAAATCAAAATTAAAAAATAAAGGCAAAATCATCATTAAATATGGGTATAACACATTCCTGGAATATGCTCAAAGCAAAGACCAGCGAGAAAGAAATCCATGACATTTTTTCTGAAGTGGATGGCATCTTTCGCCACCACGTTTTGAAGGTAGTTGAGAAGTTCATGAACATGCGAGATGAGTTCCAAATGCTCAATAGCTTGTCTGAAGACCAGAAGCTGGATTAGATTCTGTTATGTTTGGAAGAGGGAAAGCGTTATAAACAATTACGGAGTATTAAATATTTATTTCATATTATTAATTTTTATAATTGTCATACATTAGTATGTATTTTGTTTATGAAATGCTTGATCATTATGTTATTTGAGATTTTGTTAACAAAATTTTGTCTATTAATCATTTGAAATGAAATTCTAGTACTTGCCAAACAACTTCTAGATTTGAATTCTAGAATTGAATTCTTGTGAAGATCCAAATAGTATTTGGATTTCAAATGATGAATTTTGAATTTCATGTGTTTGCCAAACATTAAAAAAGAATTTGGATTTTAGGATTTAAAACTATAGAATTGAAATTCGTTAATTGAAACGAGTTCCCTTTTCCAAACGCTACCTTAATGAAATAGGGAAACAAAATGGAAAAAAAAATTGATCATGTAAGTAGTAAACATGCAACTTAATTTAAGACGGAACAAGCATATGTATTGAAGGGTACTAGTTTCCACAACAAAAAATGAAATACTTGCTAGTTTCCAAATACCCAGAGGGCACAACATAAAGGTTTGAACATTAAAAGAGTTGAAAATTGAAAACATGATACCCATATCAAATTCATAATGACAGCCATTATTAAATAAATGCATGCAATAGGTTGGCTGCAATTTACCTAGGGAAAATTGCCATGGACCTGAGGACACATGTAGCTGCCGGTGACAGAATAGCAGACCGGCTTTCCCAGATAAACCGCCACTCCTCCATTTTTCATCTTGAAATGTAACGGGAAGCATTCAATTAGCCAATACTCAAAATCTGAAACTAACGGATGATACTGGACGTTAAAAATCCTGCCTTGTCCCAAATCAACTAGGGTTGAGACCTCTACATCTGAAAGGTAGGCGACTTTTTCACAAGGCGCCCAAAGATTCCCATGCACAACCTCCCGCTTTAAATAATCGTAAGCACGTAACACCCCATTGCTGATGCGACAAAGTACCAAGTGCTTCCAGACTGCCACAGGACCCTCCCAGTTTTCATGGAAATCAGCATCGAAACAAGACCACGGTTGAGTTTTATCCTCAGGGTCAAAGGCGTAGAGGCCATCCTGCCTAGAAAATTTGATCAGAACTATCTTCTTATTCTTACTGCTACTACTACCACCACCACCACCATTAGGATGAGGGACGACAGCACGAAAGCTCATTCTGCCGCGGTACTCTTTGGGGGTGTCGGGCAGGGCCACCCACTGATCCGATTCTGTGTCGTAAACCTCCGCATAGGGGTCCGGGACTGGGTTACCATTATTACCCCCAAAAACATAAATCCTGCCAGCAACTCCGAAAACGCCACTAGGCCAGTTTCGATCTTGATGGAGCATGGGAGGAAGTTTTCTCCACACTACTAATCCTTCGTTTTCATTGGGAGAAGACGTGACCCGCACACATGACTGACCTTGACCGATAAGGTAGATAGAACCATCCATTGAGAGGGAATAAAAAACCCAAAGTGTGGAATGCTTGCATAACTCACTATTGGTATGGTTTTGTTTTTGCTGTCCAGATGCCTTCGATGAGTTGTAACATCATCAACATTCAAACAAAACCATCTTCGCAGTGGTAGCGACCCACTTACCCCCTGAGACACATAGATTAAATTCTTCTTGCTCTCATCAATTTCAACCACAGATGACTTGCCCGTTCTTTCCATTCCTCACAGATAGGGTTCCTAGTTCATACAAGATGAGTTTTAATAAATAAAACAATAAATAAAACATGCAAAATAAATGAGATCATACTTGTGGTTTATGCATGACACACAAGCGTGGAGCTCTTTAAGTGTAACCCACCCCCTCAAAAAATGATTTCTGTCTGTGTTAGGTATTACCAGTATAATGGAACCCAAAGTTTAATTGTTGAATTCAAAAAAAGCAACCAGATTACTAAATGCTACGGAGTATGTATTTGTGCCCTTGAATCTTGGAAGATAAATGACACTTTAAAAATGAAAAACGGTTTTCGAATAATACTTGGAGCAAGTTTTCCATATATTTCAAGGACTGAACCAAGGAAGAGGAACAGAACATAAAGAATATCCTTTAAGTTTTGAATCGTAAACAAACCCACAACAAAACAGATCCCATGTTTGTTAAATTAGTTGTTCATAAATAACTCCTATTGTTATGTATTTAATTGCTACATATAATGCAAGTTAGCATTTACATGCAGACGAATATAGAAAATCTGTGAGAGTCAGAGAGTGATTAGCTATTGTCCTCCCCCTAACTTGCCCTTCCCAACCCAAGCACCCCAGCGCTCACTCTAATCATACGCATCTCCACCAGACCCATGTTCATGTTACTTTTGCAACCAATCACCTTTATGTCGACTCGCAGCCCCACAACTCACACCCAACACCTCTTTAGCAGCTTCCCTGATGCAAATAACAATATGAGCCTGGTCAGTGGCCTTCACGGAAGACTCCCAAACACCTTTCTCTTGTACTCGTGCAATCAACTCTAGGATTTTCTCCCCATAAAAGCTCCCCCACCGAATACGTGCTAAACCACAAGTTGGATGTCTTTGCTTCACCCACTTGATCGTGACTTCCATAACGAGCAACTTGTGTTGGGTGGTATGGTTCTCATTTGGGAGTACTTTACCATCCTTAAAGAGAATCCGATGATTCCAATCACACATGTGCAAGAGAAGGTAGTCGATCTGCGTCCTCCTCACTCTACTAAGAAAGGTAGTTAAGTGATCCTCTCGTTTAGGAAAGCAAGAGTTAACAACCACCAAATCACTCACTCCAACAAACTCCAAGAGTGAATCCCCTGACTGGTTCCTATTGCCAAAGCTAAACCCACCTTGCACCTCCATATAGCCCTACGCTGAGTCCCCAATATGACCATTGAGGTCGCCTCCAATAAAGACTTTCTCGGTCTGTGGAAAAGCACCAACCACCCCATCCAGCGACTCCCAAAACTTCCTCTTAACTTCATCTTCATAGCCAGTATGTGGGGCATAGGCACACACAATATTGATAGCACACCCATCCAAGACAAACTTGATAGCCATCAATTAGTCACTAATCCTCTTCACCTCCACCACAAACTCCCAAAGCTCTGGTGCCACAAAATACCTACTTCATTCTTGCACCTAGCAAAGCCTAAATACCACAACTTGAACACATCCACCTCACATACCTTGGTGCCCACCCACCTAGCCTACTGCGCACACGCTACTTGAAACCTTCTCCGCTTAAGAATTTGGATCAGCTCAATCGACTTACAGTGAAAGTCCCTATATTCCTTGAGCCAAACCCACACACTTTGCCTCCCGCCCCAACCTCATTATATCACCTTAGCTTTGCATTGCTAACCAGGAGACTAAACACGAACAGAAAGATCTACAAGCAGAAAATAGGTCGGCAAAAACAAACAACACAAAACAAGAGATAGAGTAAGGTAGCAAAACAAATAATCAACAGTGAAAGCAACAATGGCAATAAAAACACACAAGAATAGCCAATATAGCAGTAAAGAGAAAAAAAAGGAAAGGGAGATCAAGGGGAAAAAGGGCAGAGAGTGGGGTAGGGGGGGTTAAGTTGGCAGAATTGATGGTGGGGAATGCAGCTAAAGGGAAGGGGACTGGGAGGGAGGGGTGCCGTCTAGGGATGTGATGTTGACAATGGCTGTGAGCAAGGGAAGGGGTGGAATCGGCGGTCGGAAGGGGAGAAAGAGGCGGCTGTTGGAGGTTTGTTAGTGGGGGCGGAGGGTAACCGGCGACTAGGGTTGGAGGGGGGGTTGGGGGTAAGGCTAGGTTTGGTGAAAGGGGGAGAGAGGACTTACCTGGGGCTAGAGTCGCTGACCGCCGTCGCCCACAGTCGACCTACGCTGCCGACAAAACCAAGAAGACAACTGGCGAGAGAGAAAGAGAGAGATCCAGCGAAAGATGGCACCGATGAGAGTGAACCGGCACGAGAGGGGGCGCCGATAAAAGTGCTCAGGCGATTTTAAAAAATCCCAGGTCTGGTCGAGGAGAGTCAGAGACTCAGAGCCATTCGAAGAGAGAGAAAATGATCTCAGTACTATTACTTGTATCAATATTAAAAGAGTAAATTCCATAAAAGGTTTCCAGTTATAGGTCATTTTACATATTTAGTCCCTATATATTAAATATTACTTATTTAGTCCCTAATTATTAAATTTATTTTCATGAATGGTCCTTTGTAAACATTTACATTAAAAACGTAGATAAAATTGTAAATTCACACTCTTTTCTCTTCTCAATTAAGTTTCATCCTTCATTTCGTACTCTTTCTCAAACTCGTCGCTGAGTTTGAAGCTCTAAACCCAAAACTGTAATGATCACTCCTCTCTAAAATCAAAACCAATAAACTTTATGGATGAGTTTATCGGTTAGTCTCAAGAAATTGCAAAGAAAAATAAACATTAAAATTCCTCCATGAAGGTTACTGGTTTCAAATTTGGGTTCCATCAGTTCGACATGCAATTGAGAGAAGAGTGATAATTTCGAATTTGGGTTCAAAGTTTCAAACTCAGTGACAGGTTTGGGAAAGGAGTGCGAGGAGAGAGAAGAAGCTTAACTGAGGAGAAAAAGAAGTGTGAATTTACAATTTTATCCATGTTCTTAAGAGAAATGTTAAAAAAGGACCATTTGTGAAAATAAATATAATAATTGGGGACTAAATAAGTAATATTTGATACGTAGGGACTAAATATGTAAAACGACATATAACTGGGGACCTTTTATGAAATTTACTCTCATTAAAATTTGCTTCAGTACTTGGTATATAAAAATAATAAAAGAACAGCAACAATTATCATATCCTTCTCAGGTTGTAATTATTTGTGTGTAGTTTCTTGTTGTTGAACTTGTTAGGTATTGCTTTATCACTTTTTTTTAATTAGATTTTCTTTATATATAGTTTTAGTACTGGGTGTTCTTCTTGCATTCCGCCTTTTCAAAGATGCTGGGTAGCAATGATGAGGCCAGGATGTATCCATGGTTGCGTAAGGGGCTAGGGGAGCACATAGGTTAAGATCTGGGCATTGGAACTTACGGTCCCTGATGAGCATGTCAATATATTAATAATGTATTAATCCATGAGAGTAAATGGGTGGGTGGGCACTAAGGCTCTGTTCCGTTCAACTTATTTTTTCTGATCTGATCTGATTCTAATAAGTTCTGATCTGATCTGGTCTGATCTGATCTGATCTGATTGGATCTGATCTGATTGAATCTAATCTGATCTGATCTGATTGGATCTGAACTGATCTGATTGGATCTGATCTGATCTGATTGGATCTGATCTGATCTGATTAATTATAATTTAATTTAAAATTTTAAATCAATAATCTAATTGACTATATAATAACGTTTGAAAATTGTAATGATAATTCATATTATAATATAATCAACATTTTTTATTTAATGATTATTTTTTTATAAAATAAAAATAGTCAATTCATATATTAGAATAATCATTCATAATATAATGTAATAATATTTTTATTTTATTTTATTAAAATATCTCATCCTTATAAAAGATCAAAAGTTTAGAAACTCAAATTACAAGTAGCAATAAAAATATATTTTAAAAGTAGAATTAGATTGACAATGTAATAATGATGATGATGATGATGATGATGATGATAATAATAATAATAATAATAGTAATGATAATGATAATAATAATAATAATAATAATAATTCTTGTGGGATTTGATTTTAATAAGTCCTGATTTGATCTGATCTGATCGGATCGGATCTGATCTGATTGGATCTGATCTGATCTGATTGTATCTGATCTGATCTGATTGGATCTGATCTGATCTGATTAAATCTGATCTGATCTGATTGGATCTGATCTGATCTGATCTGATCTGATTGGATCTGATCTGATCTGGTCTGATCTGATCTGATTTTAATAAGAATAAGAAAAAATAAGAAAAAATAAGTTGAACGGAACGGGGCCTAAAGCACGAGATATGAACATGTCCAACTTGTACTCCGGTGCTTAAAGGGACAAGAACAGTTTTTGCGCGCAGTTTGGTTAATGAGCATTTCCAGGCTAGTTATAAGCTGATGGTGATTAAAATATGAACACACTCCTACAAAATACGGAAATAGTCAGACTTGTTTGGGCTTCTCAATCCTCATGTGGAATAGATAATGCAACCTCTATCTAGATCGCGAACATAATAATACTTCAGGCTGGAGACATTGTTACAGACCAAACGAGAGAACTCAACCCAAAAGACTAGTCTGATAGGTGAGGGAACCCATTTGGCCTATAAACCCCACATCAATAGTTTCAGTGACATTCAATCGATTCAATAGGCATATGGAGATTAAGAACTGTTGGTTTTTTAATTACGAGTGAAAAAAAAAGACGATTAGCGCACGAGGCAAAAGATTTTGAATTTGCAGAAGCCACGATCAATCTGTAAACAAATCAGAACCCTCAAACCCTAATACAAATATGCTGTAGAGACAGAGGAATCTCACCAGATATGGCGGCAATTTTTTTTTTGCGGCCGAGCGAGGATGACGCCTGGAAGATACACCAAGATGATATTAATCATATTATCGAAATGGGGCTCTGAGATCGAATTGAAGAAGAAATAACGCAAAGTACTCTGTATTTACTACCATTCTCATGGGCGACCACCTCTTAAAAATAGTGTGATGGTCTACCTAAGTGTTCTGCTTAAGTCATCGTGATTTACCTTTTCTCACATTTCCGTCGGGTCGGGGTGAGGGGTGCCTGAGGTGAGCGATTTCACCTTTTTGAAGAACGATTCCAAGAAGGGCGAAAAAAACAGGTTTACCCGGCTGGCCTAGCCGCCTAGGGTATGCAAAAATAAATTGAGAAGCTTTCAAAATGAAATTTGCACCGAATAGGAGTAAAACATAAGTTATTTTTCAATGACTTAAACTTTTTATTTTCTAAATAGGACTTAATAATGATTAGTGAGAAAAATAATGTTCAAGTGGTAGAGAGAAAGACCAAAGTATGACTAAAACATTAAAAATATACCAAAATAGGACTTCCATGTTTTTATTCCCAAAATAGGACTTATATTACCAAACATGGTCATATAAATCACCAAGAAAGTATAGTAATTTGCACATGTACACTGCCACATTACCACAATACAAAGTCACATTATCATCGTGCAAAGTCTTATTCTGGGAAAAAAACATGAAAATCCTATTTTGGTATTTTTCTCTATGTTTTAGTCATATTTAGGATTTAGTTGAATAATTAATAATTGATAATGACCAATAGTCCTACATTGGGAAATAAAAACATACGGTGCTATATTAAGAAAGTCATTATGTTTTAGTTCTATTTAGGTAAATTATCTTTTAAAAACATGTTATGAAAATTGAAAAGATGTATTTTGAGATTTTCTTTTCTCTATTGACATTTTTTCTTGTGCTTCTTGTGTATACATACAGAGCCTCTTTTTATAATTAAGAGGTCCAGTATGAACACTCACACAAATCAAAGAAAAATATTTCTACAATTGACAACTTGATTATGATATTCCTGTAGACCTTGTTAAAATGTGGCGGAGGTGGTTGAGCTAAATTTGAATAAATGAATACTTCACATATTTCATAACACCCCCTTGAATATTCATTTTTTAAATAGTGATAGCTATTTCATGAAATAGGTGAATTTCGAGACTCATCCTAATTTTATGTAGTGTCTCATAAAAAATTTTGTCAGAAAATAACAAGTTGGAAAAAACCTGATCAAGGGAAAAAGAGTACATTACATAAAATTCTTGTGTACAAGTTTTTCAAGTCTCTTTGGGGCAGTGTCTTGGTAAATAAATCAACGAGGTTCTCACTTGTCTTGATTTGATTGATCTCAACCTTTCCATCTTTCTCGAGATCATGATTTGAGAAAAACTTTGGTGATATGTGCTTTGTTCGGTCTCATTTGATATAGCCTCCTCTAACTTGAATAATGCATGCAGTATTGTCTTCATATACAGGAGTAAGATGGTTAGTGCTTTTTTCTATATCGCATTCTCTTTGGATATGTTAGATCATTGATCACAACCATACACATTATCTACCTGTTTCATAAAGAGCTATCAACTCTGCATTGATCCATTTTGATTTAGTCCATCACATCCGAAGCCAAAAATGGTAAAATTTTGGCTCAATCGAAGCTTATTCCAATTAAATTAAAAAATTTCAAAGAACAATTCTTAAGTTATTTTACTTCTACAAAATAATATACGGAGTATAAATTATTCTCCGTAATCAACTTATAAATTAAAAACTAATTAAATTATCCCAGAGAAAAGAAACACTGTTATAATAAATCCAAATGGAACGTTTGAAACTTGAAAGCAGATTCCATGCAATTTAGTTTCCTGAAATTACTCCGCATTTCAGATTTGGATAATTATAAAATGCAAAATGCTAGGGTACACCAAATGTGTATCCCATATGTCCCCCACCTCCTCCTTGTCCACAAAAAAAGGCAAGAAAATTCAAAAAAAAGTAAATAAAAATCAAATAAAAATGTGTGGTAGAGAAGGAGGTGGTGTACAGTTGGGGTACTCGTGTACCCTAGCATTGCTCTTATAAAAGGAATTTTTGTGTTATACACAATTTCCTTCTTGGTCAAAGATTGGTCAATATTTTGATTTGACGACGATCCGCTAAGATTGGTCCTTGGATTATTTGTATTGTTCGTCTTTCTGCTCATCCTTTCCCAACAAAAATTCTCTTGTAAGAAAGTCGGGAATAGAATTCCCATTCCCCTTTATATGAACAATTTCGAAGGGATACATTACGGGTACACCTTTGGCGTACCCCAAACGTACACCACTTGTTTCTACATCATTCATTTTATTTTTTTTATTCTTTACTTTTTTTAAAAAGTTTCTTGCCCTTTTTGTGTGGTGATGGAGAGGTGGGGATGTTTGGGGTACACTTTTGGTGTATCCATAACATTTTCCCTTATTAAATAGTGAAATACTACCATATACGCTTCCACTTTTGTCTTCTGATATAAACTTTTTTTTATCCTAATTAATGTAAAAAGTGAAATTTGCATTAAATAGGACTAAAACATAATGACTTTTCTAATGTAAAATTTAAAGTTTTTTATTCCTTAAATAGGACTTAATAATGACCTAGTAAATGAATAATGTCCAGTAATGATAGACATTTATTTGAATAATGACTACTTCATAATGACCAAATGTCCTACATTGGGAAAATAAAAATATATGATCCTATATTGGAAAAGTCATTATGTTTTAGTCATATTTAGGTAAAATGCTTATCTAAAAAATAATCTCTCCCTCCTTTCTCTTTCCATTGTAGAACATCCTCCTCTTCCCTTTTATTCTTTTTCTTCATTTTCTTATTCAATCAGGTTTTTTTCCATGTTCTCCTTTAATCTTTATTTCTCTCGTAATCTATTGGTACCCAACTACTATCTCTCTCCTACGTGAATGACGATTAATTTTCGACAACCAACATCCAGCTCAACTTATATTCATTTCAATGTATTTGTAATTTTTCTAGAATTTGCTACATATAAATTAAGGTTTTCTTGAATGAATTTTATTTGGTATATAAAAAATGTTGTGAACACGTGAGAATGCTCCATCAAATTTACGTGTTCATACTTTTCGAAATTTCTAGATAAAAAATTCTATAGTCACTTCAATATTAAATTTGTTCGAAATTTTTAAATTGGACAATTCTATTAAACAAATTTTAATGCATGTAAAATTTTAATAAAAAATGATTTATAATTTTTTCACTTATGTTTGATGACTTTGAATATTAGTTTTGTCCTTTTCACAGACCTTAAATACTTGTGACTCAGGCATCATAAACTTTGGTCATTTTCTAAATGTTTGTGACACAGACACATATATATTTCATATCCGTGTTAGTTACAAACTTTTCGACATCTTCTCTAACCTTTGGTTATTTAAGAGGTCATTGTCCGTAGTTGTTGTGGTGTGGAATTATATTCACATATTCTTATTATATGTGATTTTTTAAATTTGTGTTTTCTTGGTTAATAAGGTTGTTAGACTTCAACTACAATAGTAAAATTATTATTTTGATAAGATAACCTATTTCAATCTCCACTCCTAATACTTTTTTATTTACATGTGATTTTTTAATGTCATTTTATTTATCTTGTTTTGCAATATCCTTATATTTTGTGTTTTGCTCTTCAAGTAGTGCCTTCGAATCTCTTCAATGTCACAAAAATGTCACCTCAACTACATTTACAATACATCTTTTCGTACAAAAGTCATATTTGATTTCTACTAACACGTCATTATTTAACAAACTTACAAAGCGAGATTACCATGACACAACACAAACTCAATGTCATTCATACAACATACTTGGTTCGTCCTTGAGTATTTGTTCACTTTTGACTTTTGGAACTATTAATATAAACACTTTGACTCATCAAATTTTCTCAATGTGTAAGCCTAAAAATAGTCATGTGATCTTGTTTGATTCGTCTTAAACATATACGTAGTAGATTATTAATATATAATTTTATAATTTTTTAATATACAAATTACAAGATAAAATGGATTAAAGAAGTGCATTGGATGGTGTGCAAAAATGAAAATGGACAAATACTCAGGGACAGAGTATTTGTCCAGTTTTGACTTTTGGAACTGTTTATTAAACATTTTGACTTATCAAATTCTCTTAATATATAATTTTTATATCTTATTGATATATCAATTTGTAAATAAATTGATTTCAAAAAGTAAGAAATTTTACTGCGTAACCCGCAATTTGTAATCAAATTGGGGACAGAGGGAGTATATAATTTCTATAATTTTTTAATATACAAATTACAAGATAAAATAGATTAAAGAAGTACATTGGATGGTGTGTAAAAATGAAAGTGAACAAATATACTGGGACGGAGCAGTATATACTCGTACGTCAAAAGTTATACAGAGTATTATAAAGCGAAATTTGTAGTGAATAGGACTAAAACATAAGTCATATCCTAATGTAGGACTTAAAAATTTTTATTCCCTAAACAAGACTTAATAATGACTAGTAAAAAGAATAATGTTCATGTGATGCTAGACATTTAGTTGAATAATAACTAATTGATAATGACCAAAGATCTTACATCCGGAAATAAAAATATATGGTCCTATATTGAGAAAGTTATTATGTTTTAGTTCTATTTAGGTAAATTACTCTATTATAAAATGTCATTTACGGATTAATAAGAAAAATGATAAAAAAATAATACAGAGTAGTTTGTAATGCAGTAAATTACATAATTGGTCCTTTATAACAGAGGTTTCCATATTTAGTCATCTATTATCAAATATTACCCCACATCCTTTTTTTAAGGGTACCTTTCCACAAATGGTCCTTTTTTTGATCTTCTGCTGTGTTGGTGTTAATTTAAAGGTTAAAAGTATAATTTGGCGTCAACATGATGTCTAGTGACGTATTCTGATATTGGTTAAGCGGATAACATAAAAATAATGACTATGATTGTGAGCTAGGATTCTGACGAAAGATCACATTTGTAGACTATAGTTGTCGAAAAAAGCGACTGTAATTCACAAATGATGCAAACGGAACAGCCTTTGTAATTGTGTATGACAAAAAAGATATATTATTATTGTGAAATTATACTTTTAGCCATTAAATTAACACCAACATGATAGAAAATCAAAAAAAGACTATTTGTGGACATATACCCATAAAAGAAGACCATTTCGGTAATATTTGATAAAGAGGACTAAATAGGAAACCCATGTACAAAAGGACAAAGGAGAGATACAAACTTTACTCCTCTTCTTTAAGCAATGCTGGTTCGAAACATTTGCAGAGTGAGTCTCTTCCTTTCCCCTCACTCTTCTTGATTCTTGAATACCCCCGGCGATTTCATCCGATATCTATGCGGCGGGATGCCAGTTAGCCACAGCAGCCAACAATGTCCCTTCTTCACTATCCCTTCTACCGGGAGCAGAATTTCCAATTTCGTCCGCTCTCGTCCTCCAATCTGCTACTTCCCTCCAAAACCCGCTTCTTCAAACCCCAAAACCCTAGTGTTTTGCAGCTTACCACCTCCATTTATCCGTTCCAACAATTCCCCTTTCTTCCCCTTTGGTACACATCGCAGGCGTGATGCTTCCGTTCTAGCCGCTGCGAAAAAATCTGGCCCCGATTACTATTCCGTTCTAGATGTGGGCAAAAATGCAACTTTGCAGGAGATCAAGGCCTCGTACAGAAAACTTGCTCGGAAGGTAAAATTGCATACTGGTATACGTGTGGTTCTTGGCATTATGCTTATAACTCTTTTCATACGGGTATGTAGTCTTTTATGATGATATAGCTCTTTCAAACGGGTGGGGTACTTTTACTGGAAATGGAGAATTCATTGGGTATTTGCATTTTAGTACAACAACAGAGTAAGGTCCCCCAACTGGGGGGTTTGGAGGGGTGGGTGTAGGTTGAACGTACTCCTTCCTTTAAAGTTAGACTCTCTTTTTGAAAGAATCTCTGCACTTTTCGAAAGTCTCTCTCCTACACTGCATTGCAGCTGTATCCAATAATTTAACATTTTCAGGAATTTGGTGTCTTGTCTGGTATGTACTTTACGGAGTAGATTTTAGCTTTGTTGGCTTCCAGCAGCAGATATCAATATGTTTTTTTAGTTTCATGCGAACAGTCTTGAGACACAACTTAATGATTGTGCATCTGGTTCATGGTATTGGATAACTTAGGGGTTTTGAATTTGCGATTCTTGTTTGGAGCAGTATCATCCTGATATGAACAAGGGTCATGGAGCTGAAGAGAAGTTCAAAGAGATAAGTTCTGCTTACGAGGTGACATCTATATTCCCTTTAACCTTAGCAAAAATTGCAGTTATATCCTATCCATGCATATTATTTAGAGCTTGAGATATTTAGAGCTCATTCAATTTAAATAAGGTTCAGTTCCATTTAAGTTTAGTTATTTTTAACTCATTGGCTAAGAATTTGACCCGATTGGTCTAGGATATGTCGATGCTTTATGATATCAAAGAATTTCTGTAGGTACTATCAGATGCTGAGAAAAGGTCTTTATATGATCGCTTTGGTGAAGCTGGATTACGAGGAGAATATAATGATTCTAGTATTGGTGTTCCATGGGTATGCTCGCAACCATGTCAATAAGCTCTGCTGGATTTGCTCATTTTCCTTTTTGTTTTTGGACGTATAGGTTTTATTTCCCATTTAAATGTTTTGTAGTCATATGGTTCTTTTTCAGTTTCTATGTTGATTATTGATGAATGATTTTTCATGGTGGAATATGCAAACCAAATAGGCAGATCCATTTGAAATGTTCAACCCATATTTTGGTGACTCTAATCCTTTTTTCGGAGTAAGTGGTAGCTCCAGTGGTTTCAAGTTTGATTTCGGCAGTGAAGGACGTCAGGATCTTGATATTAGGTAATTTAATTTGCCTCCATAATATTTCCATTTGTTTGTTTTTTTGTTCAAAGATCAGACGTTTCTGGATAGTTTTGAGGCTTTGGCCTTTCCACCTTTATAGTTTCCGCTGTGTTGACTTTTGTGTTCACATATTGAAATGTTGATGGAAGTTGGGTTGTTAGTTTACCAAAAGCATATGCCCAAACCTCTGTATACACTAAGCCACATTCTTTTCAGTTAAGAATTGTTTGTCTAAGGAAAATCATATTCAATATTTCAGTTTATGGTTGTTTGAATAAGGAAAAATCTATTCATGATTGTTTTAATACTAGTCATATTCAGCTCAATTGCAAAACTTATCAATTGTAATTTGCTTGACACAAGTTCAATAGCCAATGAATGTAAATACAAAACAACACTTGCAGTTGCGTCTCTATAAAAATCTGCATGTGAAGGTGGCGGTGTGCACTAGCCCTCTTATTATTTCATAACAGCCAGACACAAAATACAAAGGAGGGAACATAAATCTAATACCATTAACTATGATGAAAAACAATATTCCATACAACCAAGAAGATGAGGTGCTCTAATAGTTATAGTCCTCTTGTTATTTCATTACTATTTTTCTTCCATGGGCATCTAAGAAAATGATGAAAGGCTTAGCATCAGATGAGAAACAGAGGGCCTGTTTGGTGAGCAAATCAGACATGGCTTTCAACAGCTCTGTTATTGAGTTCTCAAATTTGGCGTTTGGTGAATAAAAAAGGAGCTCACATTTCAAATCCAGAGAAATCAGAACCTCTCAATCGGCCGCTTATTGATATCTATATTATCCTTCCAATTTCAACTTTTGAAACCTGCCGATTTGAACTTCAAGCTCTTTTTTTTTCTTTTCAAACTGAGTGTCTCCTTCCTCTCCAGGTTTTTTTATAAAACCCTTTTCAGGGTAAAAAAGTCAATCACAAAATCACAAAATCACTTTTAGTTGCCTGATCTCTTCTAGCATATGAACAGCAATTAAGATTTTTTCGGCGTTTCTTCAGTGTTTTTTTAGTTTTATTTATTCTTATTATGTTTTTCATTGGTCATTGGTTAGAACTTATAGGGATTTTCTTCATTATTTTGTTTTCTTGTATTTTCTTATTAGTTATCACTTATCAGTTGTGTATTTTTTTCACTTTTGTTTTGACAAGTTCAGTGAAAATGATGAACATTTCTGTTTGATTGAATACCCGCTCACCAAACAGAAGATACTGAAATTTGATTTCATTTCAATTTTCTCCAAACACTTTTGTTTTAGCTCATTCCATACCTTCCAGATTTTCGAACTGATTCCATTTCTTTGCTGGTTTTCTTGCCAAACAGGCCTTGAGAAAGAATGTAGAGGGCTAGTATATTTGACATTTAATCTGATTTGTTTATTATTAACATATTCAATTATTGTTGCAGTCTTTTCATGTCAGCTTGTTGATTGTAGATGTGAAATGCACCTGAGCTTTAAAGAGTCAATATTTGGAGGAGAGCGTGATATTGAAATACCTTGTTTAGAGGCTTGTGATGGTTGTGACGGGACTGGGGCAAAGTCCAACAATTGTATAAAAGTGTGCTCTCATTGCGGAGGGAGAGGGGGAATGGTGAAGACAGAGAAAACACCCTTTGGATTCGCGTCCCAGGTAATATCAGTGATTCAACATTAATGGAAAGATATGGTGTACTTCTGCATGTAGTTTTTTTGTATCATAATTCATAACTTTGGCCTTTCAGTTTTGTGAGTAGTTGTTCTCCTTTTTATGGACTTACGTAGTGCATTGTTCATAGGAATGACTAGATGATAAACCAGTATTGTTTAATTATCATGTCTGAGAAGAGGTGTGGGAAAATACTTTTGATATATAGTAACTTACAACTAGTTCTAGTCATTTGAAGCTTTGTACGGGTGAAAATAATTGTTCTTGGAATAAATATGGAAATGTTTTTCTTATATTTTAGGTTAAAGATAAAATGACAGAAAACTAGTTTGTGCAGTAATTAAAATTGAATAGCAATAAGATTTAATAAGAAAAGAAGGAGAGTGAACTAACCATTAGGCTTGCTTTGTTGTATGGCTTGGATCATTGTGCATTGGAATGCCAACACGATGTATTGTATCATTGCCAATATGAGAATGGGAATGGAGGTGGGACAAAATATAGGAGAGTAGCTTCGATTGCAAACCAGATGAAATAGAATTGTATGAGAGGATTTGGCCATGTGGAGAAACATGTAACAGATGCACATGTTAAAAGTTGTGATGGCCCTAGCAATTCATCTCAAGAGCATGAAAAGTATTAAGTTTATTTGTTTGGACTTTAAAAACAACCAGACTAGATCAGCAGACCTCATGAGTATGGGGCTTGTAGATGAAATGACTCTAAATGTGAACAAATAATACCACTTAATTGTTTATACCTTTTTAGCAACATGTCAAACTATTTTTCTTTTAAAGTCTCTGTCTCATTTTTCTTATGGTAAAAAAACAAACATCACATAACTCTTTTACAAAATCTCTACTAACATAAACTCTTAGCTAAAATGTTCTACTGTGTAAGGGACTGTAAGCTCTACTCATACTAGTTGAACCATACATATACTACGCTGTTTTCATTCCCCCCCCTAAAATTTAGATACTTAAATTTCACCTCTATTTATTTTTACAAACATGCAGTTTATATTGAAGTTGGCAACCAACTTGATTTGACCTAAATTATTTGAAACACTACATTTTGAAAGATGCTTAATAATTTCTAGGTGTCTACTTGCCCAAAATGTAGCGGTAATGGCAAGGTAATTACGGATGCTTGTCGTCGATGTAATGGCCATGGTCAAGTAAAATCAAAGCGGAGCATGAGAGTGGTCATACCACCCGGAGTCAGTGATGGTGTCTTTATGCGACTCCGAGGAGAGGGTAACATAGACAAAACAAGGTGTGTTCCAAATTGAGAACTTATATTCTCATAAGTGTTGTACTCTAGCTCCCCTCCCCCCTTCCCTCCTATAGTATAAGTTATATGTTAGACTAGGGCAACCGAATCCTAGGGTTAACAAACCCCAGTTCCTTACACTAAGAGCCCATCATTTTTTTGTATAACTATGTATCCAACTATCAGTCTTGAAAATTATGCAATTGTATAGAAACAAATCAACAATCACATCAATAAATGTTTGATTGCTTTCTTATGCATGATATTAGTTGAATATGTTGTACAGCTAAAAAATAACTTTTCGTAGACTAGATTAGTTTAGATTTGCTTACTACTTTTGTTTTCCTTTCCTTCATGGCTTGTTTGTTTAAATCTCATTCTTCATCATCTAGACCAAGTCATTGTCTACGTGAAGTCAATTGTCTAGGCAAAGATCACTTCCTTACATATTGCATATGACTATGTTAGTCTTTGTTACATTTTTCATTCTATGTTACATTTGTTTCCAACTTGCAATCATTTTAACTAATGTTTGTAGAGGCACACGAAGTAAGAATAATTGTAACAAGCTTGGTGTATTGTACTTGGTCTAGCTTGGAGGGGGGTGGTGATATTACTTCTTTTGTCCCCCTTTTAGTCACATTGGATCGACGGGACACTGCTTTTTAGAGTTAACAAATTATATTCTGGATTTTCTTAATTTTCCCTTGAGTTGATCTAGTCACCTAGATAGAAATGATATTTCATGCAAAAACGATGGAGGTTATTTTGTGCCCTCTAAACTTGGGTTATTTTATTTTCAATATAGTTTTATTTTAAATAGGAATAATTTGAAGACACGTAGACGTCAATACAATAAATTGTTCTCTCATGCTCTCCACTTCATATATTCCAAACTTATTAGTTATTACCTATCTGGCCTACCAGGTGTGTTAACTTCATTACTCCTGTCTTCGTTCAGTTCTATCCCGAGTAATGAAAATATACTCTAAGCTATTAATTGATGCTGAGTTTTTGAATAATTTATTGCAGGAGCATTGCCGGCGATCTCATTTTGGCCATTCATGTTGAGGAAGAGCATGGGATTTCGAGGGACGGCCTGAACTTATGCTCAAAAGTTGAAGTTCATTACACAGAAGCCATTCTGGGGACAGTCACCAAGGTAGTAAAAGAATATTATGAATCAGCAGTGAAGTGTAAACTCTTTGGGAACCTTCCATCCCTCATTATCTTTATCTATATATCCTATACAATTTGTTTCTCTTCACATGCTTTGGAACTTCATTCTAATAAACACAGTTATCTATTTTTTAATCCTGAACTACAATCAAGTGCTTAGGATAGTCGTAATCATTGGATTCGGTATTTTTAGTTTTAACTCTTCATTTTTATACAAACACCCCCTAAGGCCCTATAACATTTCATGCTATGCCAGTAAAAAAAGTGCATGGATGACAAACTGACATAGCGAGAATTTGAGATGGTAGTACATAAGTGACCTAGGAGAGACGATGGTGGTGTAGTGCACGGGAGCTGGCGTTGCAATAGCCGTATGTTGTTAGTTACCCTGGTATTATTTACTCCCTCCGTCCAAAAATAATTGTCTCAGTCACTATTCTGGTTTCTCGTTCACTTTTGTTTATTTGTTTGTTTGGTCTCCCTCTAACTTTTGATTATTTGTGTCTTCACTCTTTGTTTATTTTTGATAAAATAATATATTCTTGTCAGATATTGTTTTTTAGAACTTTTGATGTTTTATATGTAATATGTACTTTTATTTCAATACCAATTTGTAAATTGATTAGTTTTAAAAGAGATGAGATTTTGCATGCTATTTGAATATTTTAAGTGAGACAATCATTTTGGAATGGAGGCAGTAATAAAGCATAAATCAAAAGGGTGCATTAATTAATTTATTTTTAATTTAGAAAGTAGCCATATTTTGTCCATTAACTGCTTCAGTAATATTTTAGGAAAGACCCATTTATTTTTTGTGGTCTTGGGGATATGTATGTTCACAGGTCAAAACGGTGGAGGGCATTAAAGATCTGAAGATTCCTCCTGGCTGTCAACCTGGAGATACTTTGAAAATAGAAAATATGGGAGTTCCAAACATGAGTAAACCTCATGAGCGAGGAGATCATCATTTTTTGGTCAATGTTCAAATCCCTAAGAACATCAGGTATGGACTTTTCTTTGAAAAGTGATGAGTTTTAATTCCCTCAAAGATTATTCTCTCATCTTTGAGGCCACTTCAAGAAGTTGAATCTTTAAGTGTAACTAGTTATTATGGTTTGTTGTCTTTGTTCTTGTAATGTTGGGTAAAAGTATTTCTAAAGGAGCTACTCCCTTTGTCACAAAAATGTGTTGTGTTTGAGAAAAAGGTACAACTTTTTAGTTTAGGTCTTCTCACTCAAGGTTCATTTTACGAGTTATTAATGATCACTTATGCCATTAAAACTTATTTCCAAGATTGTTTGAAAAAAATAGAAGCATCTCATGAATGCTAGTAGAAAGTTACAGTGGACTTATAAAACTGCACCTTTTTTGCAAGAAATTACTTTGAGGTGACTACCATTTTCTGATAAGAACACCAAGGTCCTTATTTATATGAATTTCATGCAGGGGCCTCAAACTTTATTGTAAATGTTGCGGGGTGACAATCTCCTTGCAACATCTAGACACCATTATGAAATGCCCGGGATACATCTGGGAGTAATTTTTTGCTAACCAGATGCAGCTGAAATATGCGACCCTTTGACGAGGTTGATGTAGCATTTCAATATGGAAGATAAGAGGTCAGAGTGGCAGTGACATCACTCCTAAGGCCATTTTGGCCATTTCACATTTTTTAAACATTGGCCCCAGATTGTCACCCCGCATCATTTACTATTGAATTTAAGGCCCTTGAGAGTGGTTCCAAATATGTAACAACCTTGGAAGTTTTTTTAAGAACACTTCTGTCACCTCAGTGTTTTTTGTGTGCCTTTTTTGGGATAACAGAGGCATCAAACTGCTTAGCCACACTATGAAAGTTTGGGAGCGAGTCATCGAGTTCATGCTGCGGTCTGCGGAAAGGGGTGTGCGTTTCCGAGAACCAATTTGGTTTCATGCGTGGCAGATCGACCACAAAGGTTGCCATTCACCTCGTGCGGGGGTTGATGGAAGAGTAATGGGCTAGGAAGAAGGATCTTCATATGGTGTTTATTGACCTTGAGAAGGCGTACAATCGGGTGCTAATGGAGATATTGTAGAGGTGTCTTGAGTATAAAGGAGTTCTGATTTCTTACACCCGCACGATCAAGGATATGTACGGCGAGGCAAGGACTAGAGTAAAGACCTTCATGGGCGACTCTAAGCCTTTTTAGGTAGGGGTGGGGTTGCACTAGCCCTTTCTTGTTCGCCTTGGTGATGGATGTCCTGACGCGGGGAGTCTAAAAGGAAGTACCGTGGTACATGCTTTCTGTGGATGATATTGTGCTTATTGACGACACACACGAGGGACAAACAATAAGCGAGAACTTTGGCAACTTTTGTTGGAGACCAAAGGATTCAGACTCAGTAGGAACCAAGACTGAATACATGGAATGTCGTTTCATTAGCCGAACTGCAGATTCAGGGGTGGAAGTGAGGATTGACTCTCACTTAGTGCCCAAAGTTGACAAGTTGCGATATCTTGGCTCGATCATTCATGCATATGGGGAGTTAGACCGGGATGTGGTGCATCGTGTTGGAGCAGCTTGGGCTAAATAGAGGTTAGCTTTAGGAGTGTTGTGTGATATGAAGATTTCACCCAGGATGAAAGGTAAGTTTTACTGCTTTGTAGACCACATATGCTCAATGGGGTGGAGTGTTGGATGGTTAAGAAGATTCGCGTGCATCATTTGCATGCGGCAGAGATGCGGATGTTGCGGTGGATGTGTGGGCAGACGAGGTTGGATAGAATTTCGAATGAGGTTAATCGAGGTGGGTTAGACATGGCGCCAGAGGAAGATGAACTTTGGGAAGCTAGGTTGAGGTGGTTCGGTCATGAAAGATGGCGGAATGTTGATGCCCCAGTGCGGAGATGCGAGAGACTTGCGTTGGTAGGGGAAGTAAGTTGGAGAGGTAGACTTATGAAGAGTTGGAAGGAGGTGATTAGACAAGACTTAAAACTTCTTGCCCTTACCGAGGATATAGCCTTAGATAAGAGTGTTTGGAGAATTAGGATTTGAGTCGCTGGGTAGGTGCCTTTAGCTAGAGGGTGTTGTTGTTGGGTGCCTTGTAGGCCTTTTATGCTTGGTGCTAGTTGCTATGTGCTTGCAGTACTCTCATTTTGTAACTTTATTTAATTTAGTTTTAATGCTGTGTGCTTGGTGCTTTGGCAAGCATTGATCAAGGGAAACCTCCATCTGAACAATCTCATAACATGTATTATATACGATAGGGCGCAATGGCGTCATTTGATCCATGTAGCCGACCCCACCTAGTGGGATAAGGCTCTGTTGTTGTTGTTGCTGCTGTGTGCTTGGTGCTTTATTTGCATTGTATCTGTGCTTTCCTTGCTTTATGTATCTATTGTGTGATCCTTTTTATGTACAGTTTAAGCCGGGGTCTCATGGAAACAACCTCTCTACTTTTGGGTCCCAGACCCTACTTTGTGGGATCCAACTGGGTTGTTGTTGTTGTTTTAGGATAACAAATATTCAAACAAGACTTGGGAGGGAGGGAGGGAGGATGTTACAAACATGGCAGTTCTGCATTTTATCACATCATTTTACTAAATTTTGGCATGCATGATCATTTTATGTCAGTAATGAAGAACGAGATCTTCTCAAGGCGCTAGCTTCAATTAGGGCAACATCCATGGAGCATTCTGTGCCTTCAGATGGGGGTATACTTATTTTCCTATTTTGTTATCCTACAGGACTTAATTTAAAGATCATAGTGATATGTCTTGTGTTTCTCTACTTCATGACCATTGAGTGAGATATTGTGTATCTTTGGTTTGGTTGGGTCTCATGTCTCTCTCTCTCTCTCTCTCTCTTAAAATGTGATTCAGGTCATCCACAGAGAAGTGCTTCAAATCTCTGGAAGTCAGTCAAGAGCATCTTCAGGTATGTTATGACATGTTTCAAGTTTGAAATCTGCCACCACTTGTGAATTTATTAAACTAAATTTTATACGCATAGAGAATTTCTCCAGACCCTGACAGAGTTGGGATTATATGGGGTTTGTTGTATATAAACATGTGCAATGTAGACCCACACATAAAATTAAGCCCACACATTTCTGTGTCAATCTTTACAATGCTTTCTATTGTGGTTATTCCTACACAGGCAAAAGCAATCTGGTGAGCGTTTTGCTTCAATGAATGCAGAGACACCTGCCTTGTGGGCTCACTCTTCTAATCTGCTCCCTTTATCAGTTTTTGCCATTTTATTTATTGCATGTACCATGGCCTTGGTTAAGACTACCCAATGTACATTTCACAAGAAAAAAGCCACAGACATGACATAATCCTTTTTACAAGGAAAAATATTATCAATGGAGGTGGTATTTCTGTGACAACATTATTTTGACGCAATGTATGTTATTTATCATACAGCTCTAAAAGAGATAATTGTTAATGCTGAGCATTTCAGAGGGAAGAATTTGATTTGCTTTATGCTAAACCAAATGCTCCCATTATGTGCACAATTAATGTTGCTGCCATCTTATATGTCATGCTGCTCTCATTACAATAAGAAGATAAAACCAATTTATTTGTATTTACGAAGAGGATTTGGGCAGGAAATAAAAAGGTATTGGATTAGACTATCTTACTCCCCTAACCCTATTAAATTACTCTTTAGTATGTACTCCGGTATTGTGTAAGTGTATGTTATTAAAGTTCACTGATTCACTCCATTAGCTAATCAATTACCTGATCCCAATCCCCTAAATACCCTGTATATTTTTGGAGGCTAGAGCACTTCTTTAAGCCATGCTAATCCTTTTGACTTCCAGTTTGTTACGGAGTATAATAAAGTTCCGGTTTGCCTTTTTTCGGTGCTAATAAAAAGTAGAATTGTGTTGCTTAGATTTATGCACATGTAAACCATTCAACACATTTTTTCAAAACGAATGAAAACTTTCTTTTGAGACGTCATAAAAAAGGAGCGAGAACTTTATTGGGATGGAGGGAGTATTAGTGATGGTATATGTGAAAAAAATGCCATGCTAGCTGTCATATACCATTTTAAGTGTTGCAGTTTGCACAAATGCAGTCGGTGGCTCAATGCACTATACATTTGATTCCATCCCCAAGAATAATGAAAACAGAGCCAGTCTGTCACAATAATATCTTACTACATCCCTAATTTAGCACACAAATATCACAAGGCTGTGGAAGAAATTTAAGCCAAGGAAAATAAAGTGGTGGAATACTCAAATTGCTGCTATCTTAATTGGGATGCAGAGCACTGTATATAGATAGCTGTTCATCACTGTAAGGATGTTCAGAGCCTTTACTCATTCCGGAGTAACTCTCTGAAGTTGAGGCAGAGTCAGCATGAGGGTTTAGCCCAACCATTTCCATGATATTCTCAATTTCTTTTACCACTTCTCCCATTGTTGGCCTTTTAGATGCTGTGTCTTCCAGACACCTAAAGGCAAGATCAACAAACTTCTCCAAACTTGCAGGTTTTACGCAGGAACGAATAGCTGGATCAAGCACTCCAAGAAGATCACGTGTTTGCTTCACTTCACGTACAATGTACTTCCCTTTCTCTAAAGGAGGCCTTGCAGTTACAATCTCTAGCATTACCACTCCAAAGCTGTAAACATCGCTCTTCTCTGTCAGCTGATTGGTCATGTAATACTCAGGATCCAAGTACCCCTGTGCAAATAAGACAACAGGTCAGTTTATAATAATACGATCAGCTGCATTCCCATCTCCAAATTTCTAGCTTTTAGACCTTACAGATCTATAATGGACCAGGGAAAGAAAGATACTACCTCAGTCCCTCAAAAATCTGCCAACTTCCTTTTTTTGTGTGTCTAAAAGAACATTACTCTATTTCCTTTTAAGGGAAGATATATGTGGTTCATGTTGTTCCTTCTATTCTAAATAAATCTCAACTACACAATTTTCACTTTCTTAATCTCCGTGTCAATCAATGAGGTATATTTTTTTAGAGCCTATTCTTTAGGGTTGGATAAAAAGCGTTGGATTTTGGAAGAAACTAGAAAACGCGGGAAGAAATTGGAAGAAACTAGAAAAAAGGGAAAAAACCTGAAGTTAAGAGTTTAAACTTTAAATCTAAAAAACAGCTTAGTATGGAGATATATTGTGAAAGTACTTAGGTCCCTACAAATATCAGTCATTAAACTGAACTCTTGATGTGTGTATTCTCTCGGCAGGCTGGGAACCAAGGACTTATGGGCAGTTGTTCTGCAAATAACTTTGGCAGTTCTTCCCCCCCTCCCTTACACTATGTTTGGATCAAGGAGTTTGAGAAGGAAAAGAAAATGAGAAGGAAAACATTTTTCTTGTTTGGTTAGAAATGAAAAGAAAAGAAAAGTGGAAGGAAAAGAAAATAAGAAAGCAAAATGTACAAGGAAGAGAGAAAACCAAATTCCTTCCATTTTAGTGAGGGAAACTCATTTTCTTTTCTTTTCCATCCAAATTCCTTGAACCAAACATAGTGTTAATGATTTTTTGGGGAAAAGTATTTCAAATTCTTTTTAGCATTGGACCAGGTTAATAATACTCATGTGATTGCTTGTTTTATAAGCATTTTCTCACATTGGCACTGTTTGTATTTTAGAAAATTTTAATAAAAACTACTCCCTCCGTTTGCAAAAAAGGTTCCTACTTTGACTTGGAGCCAAAATAAGGAAGTGTAAAATTATAGTTGACTTCCAATTTTGCCCCTGATGTGATGGGTAAAAGTAAGATGTGATGGATTGATTATTAGAGAAAAAGTATGATGTGATAGGTAGGGTATGAAAAAGTAAGGGTAAAAGTGGTTTTTTAATAGAAAGAGGAAGTGTTTTATTGGAAGTGAAAAAATGAAAGAGGAAGTGTTTTAAAAAACGGAGGGAGTAGTACCTAATGTTCGTGTATATATAGACTTCACTCACCATTGTTCCTTTGATTTGAGTGGTGACATAACCTCCTTCATGGTCGCCCATAGACTTGGAGAGACCAAAATCAGCAACTTTAGCATTCAAGCATTCGTCTAGCAGGATGTTATTGGTTTTGATGTCACGGTGGATGATTGGAGGGTTGACAAGATCATGCAGATACTGCAGCCCTTTGGCTGCTCCAAGGGCTATCCGAAGTCTCCTTGCCCAATCTAACCTGATTCCAGACTTCCCTGTGAATGTAGTACATAAAACCTTATTGGTATCTTTCTTAGTCACCAGTGAACTTGGCGTAGTTAAACATAAAAGGGTATAATGGCCAACATTGTATTTGTTTATTTAGCAATCAGACAAATCTAGACCACATTAAGTAGTTTTAGGAATCTAAAAATAGGAGCTGACATACCAGACAGACTTTCTTTAAGTGTGCCATGTGGAATGAATTCATAGATCAGTATTCGTTCCACATGATCAAAGTAAAACCCAATGAGGCTAACAACGTTCTTGTGATGAACCCTTGAGAGAAGCTCTATCTCAGATTTGAACTCTATAGCGCCTTGCAAAGATTCTTTCTGAGATCTTTTGATGGCAACCAGTTGTCCATTAGGAAGAGTTCCTTTGTATACCTGCAACGTTAAAAGATTAAGTCGTCAATTAGTAAGAGCTCCTCTCTATACCTGCAGCATTAAAATTTTATAAATGCCATGTTTGGTACTCAGCTGTTAGCTACTAGTTGTTTGCATCAGCTGTTTGTAAAAGTAAGTGTTCGGTAAAATGAGATATTTGAGTTAGCTGTTTAGAGTATTTAGTGCAAAAAAATATAGATTGAAAAAGCTGTTTTAGAAAAAGTTTGAGAAAGAAGCTTTTTGTAATCTAGCTTTTTAAGACCAAAAAGCTGTCCCAAAAGACTGTTTGCCAAACACCTCTAGTAGGTGTTTGACCAATGATTTACCTCAAAAAGCTCCTTTTGGTTTAAAAAAAGTTCAAAAAGCTTTGTTCCAAACACCCCCAAAGAACAAACTAAATTGTAGCAGTTGTCCTGCTTCAATTTTTTTCCCCTCGAGGAGAGGATACAGAGTATAACCTCCATAGCGACAAAGGGGATATAAATAAAATGGGGAAATGGAACGAACCTTCCCATAACCGCCGGATCCGATATTATTGATTTCTGAAAAGTTCTTTGTGCATTTTGCAACATCCTCAAATGAGAAAAACTTTGCTCCCATTATCTGGGGGACAGCACCACTACTTTTGGATGTATCCCAGGATGCTGTATTTGTAGAGAAAATTGATGACATCTACACAGAAATCACATAATTAAACATTACATAGTTGCAAGATTATTTCATGATCTTACCAAAAGGGTCATTCTTTTTATCTGCTTCTTGAGCCCTTCTTTTTTGGCGGAAAGCGTAAAGTCCAACTATAAGTGATAATATCACAAGGACAGAACCACCAACTGCTGCTCCTATTATAATGATGAGTTCATGAGCATTTGATGAGTTGCTTGGTCCTATAGACTCTTTACCTATTGTAACCATGAGAAGACAAATAGATAATCAATATGAGATCATGAATGCTAATAGGATTGGGATACTCAAACTTTGTATTTCATGAGTCATATCATTACCTTCAAAGAATCTATAGGAATCGGCAGCAAAAACAAACGGTCCAAATGATTTAGGTGGCTTGAAAGTTTGATTGCTGAGAACAAATCCAATTTCAGAAACCCCTGTCCTGTTGAAGTGGTTTTGGCCATTTGGGAAAATTTGCAGGTGCAAAACCAGATAGTCATCCAAATCTTTTTTTGGATTGCTCAATGACACTGAACCCACTGGGAGCTGATGGGATTGGAACGAGTGCATCATAGACTCTTGAAGGCTAAGAAACCTACTGTTTTCCAAGCCGGAAAAGGAAGGAGCTCTAAAAACTAGATCGCCGGTGTATGGATAAGCACATGCACAAGTAGGACTTGATATTTGTTCAGAGTCACACTGTGTTGGTGAGCAATTTGCTGGAGTTGTATAAGAGGAATTAGACTTTTGGGGAATGGCACAATAACTTTCAAGGTCTTCTTCCTGACATATTGGATTGTCAATGAGGCTGCCAAACCAAAAAGACAATACCACGTAATCATAACACAATAATACCCTCGTTTGGCAAAGAACCATTCAGTTTCAGAAAAACTTGGAAAAGAAAATCTCTATATGTGTCTACCAAAAACAAAAGATGCAGCTTACCTAATCTGAAACTTATACCCTGGTCTCTGTGTAAATGAATCTATAAAATTACCCCCCAAATCAATTAGCTGCAATTGGCTGCTGTAATGGGAGCTGATAGTGAGTGTGCCATTAAGTTTGTTGTTCCTCAAGTAGCTGTCATCAGAAAACTATGGCCATCAAACTTGAAACACCGAAGTATAACGGGAGACAAAACATTTATGAGTTTGCGTGTATGAAATTAAAATATTTTTGCTCATGGAGTGCAGTCGGCATAACACAACAGCAAACTCACACATTCTGCAACTGGTCAAGGCTGAAAAGTGAGGTTGGAATAGGTCCTTGCAATCTTGTATTTTCCATTACTCT